AAATCCACCAATTTATCACCAAAACACCGCACACTATCTTAGGCTAGAAGCGCGTGGACTAGGTATTCAGCAATCGCCATCTCCGGGTGTGTCGATGTGCGCTCTGCGGTTTCGGAGGTCCTCTTAAGGCCTTCTGGAACCCACGCGAGAAGCTGGTGCTTGGCCGGTCTTGTTCTGAGAATAGGATTTAAAACAGAGCATAATACAGGCGTCTACATAGCTCATTATGTTATTTTGTCTCAAACCGTAGGTCGATGTGTGTGTGGCTGAAAAGCAACGGGCAGAATATCGTTCATTTTTTGCACCGGTGCTCCTGCTGATTATGAAGTGCTGACAAAACAAAATGCTGGTGTTTCCTATATTTCCTCTCAATCGTACTGGCTTGACAAAATGATTTAACCAAAGCCTATGATTAGTTTAGGGTGGGCCTCATCGGAGTTGGCTTCGATATTTCGGGTCGGAGGCGGCTCGGGAAATATGGATTTGTCAGTACAAATATTAAGATGTACGCATTTCACATGCATTTATGGTAAAGCTATTTCTCCGACTGACACGGTCATTACAATACATGTAGACGCGATTGAAGCTTTCTAGAATTTGCTTCTACAAAATTTAGAATGCGCTAAATTGTCTCGACAACTTAGGAAGCTCGACTTGGACGACTCATCAGGGCAACACATGCAGCAGCCTCAGCGAGGAGATATAACAATATACATTATTGCTGTGGTAGGTTTTATAGTAGTAGACAGATAAATAGGTATTCTGCATTCTATAAATAATATTACAGAAGCTGCTCACAAGATGCACACATGTTGGGCCAATATTTGGTTTTTACATCCGGAAAAACCACAATCACCGCACTCTTACCAGTATGTCCGCCACCACTAGCCACCGCTCCTCCAGCAGCTTTCCTTCCGCTCTTCCGCAGTTTTCAGCTAGTCTGCACCAGCACTCACCGCCACGACTCGTCCACCACACCAACCTCTACTCCCCCCCCCTTCAACCGTCACTAGCTTCTGCCACCGCTCTCATGCCGTCCTTGTCGAGAAGCTTGTCCGCATTGCTCTCGGCCTCATCCAATCATCCGCTCCCGCTGGTGCTGCTGTCCCCGCCGCTGTCCCTGCCGCTGTTCCAACATTAGCTCATCGCCACCAGCACGCCCTCCTGTCGCTCGCCACAGGCGCTCACCATTCGCGCTCACCAACCTCATGCCACATCTCCGCATTCGCTAGATCACCGTTGCCGCGGGCGCTATACACCGTCAGCACGCTAAGTCTCTTTTTTTAATTTCTTGTATTTTTATTTTGACCCAAAACATCTAATGAATACATTATTTATTTGTTTATAGAAATACCGACGACTGATGAACCACAAATTTATGTACGGTCGGAGATTGGCGGAGGTCGGCGATTTAATGTTATGGTATAATACGCTCTATATTCCAACCGATACATGTTTATAAAATTGCAGGCCAACCGTCTTCCTGGTGTTTTGGCCTATAATCATCATTAATAAGCAAACGTTTAGCCACTAGTAATCATGATAGGGTTGGGGCAGTTCTCCAAGTATTCCAACTAGATTCGGTAGAAATTTTCAAGAAATATTTAGCATTGAATACAAACTTTCATATATATGCATATCTTAAAATACTCTACGGATTCTGACCGCAGTCGAAGCCCAAGAGTCCCGAAGGGTTTCACATTAAAGCGCGAAGTGCTGAGCTGGGGAGCAGAGCTGTAGCCATGTCAATCGCATGTCTGGCTCCAGGCAACAGCAAAAAAGACCGTATTACGGCAAAAAAATCCTTCATCACGTTCTTAGCTTTAAAAATGGACCTTCCTACGGCGTATCACTTTATAGAAGGCGATAGGATGGGTAACCAGCTGCTTATCATGCTATATATATATATATTTATATATATATACATATATATATGCATATTCACTGGCTAAGTCACAGGAGAAAGTTTTACCTACAAATACTTATCTAGCATACAATGACAAGAGCTGGCTAGCGGATAAGTATCCGCTCCAGGGTGGATTATTTTGTCAGACCACACCTCCAAACGGTTTTGGCGGGGCTTGGAAAAGACAGTTGCAATAGGGAGGAAAGCGGCAACGAGAAGAAGGCCACATCATAATTGAAACAGGATTTGAAAGGAATTGTCCGTGTATTACGTATATCTGCGTCATCTCCAAGTGAATACCTCGATGCTGCATTAGTTGTCATGATGGGGTATCTCTACAGCAGTAGCTCGGAGCAGAGCAAGTATAAAAACAGCAAGTGTCTGTTTTGCCAGGTACGTAAAGCACCAGTTAAATATTTAGAGACGTTAAAGATTCATACTTAGCTGTACAATGTTTGCATAGGTGGTGTTATATTGGTGATCAAGTCCGAGGCAGGCCGCGCCCGAGCGGGATCCAAATGCATGTCGTAGTAGTCCGGGTGTATGCACTGCATGTCGTATTAGTCCGTAGGTACGCGCTGCATGTCGTGGTGATCGTCGAGGATGGCGCACGGGTGCCTCCGTGCCGGTGATCAAGTCCGAGGCAGGTCGCGCCCGCGCGGGTCGTAGTAGTCCATATGTATGTACTGCATGTCGTAGTAGTCCGTAGGTACGCGCTGCATGTCGTGGTAGTCGTCAGAGATGGCGCACGGGCACCGCCGTACCGGTGGTCGGTTCCGAGGCAGGCCGCGCCGCTTGTGTTCAACTGGGTAAATTGTGGAATGAGATGACTAAGGTTATGGAAGCCACTGACTTCCTTGTCTTAGTCAGCTATGATTGGCTAATTGGGATGCATCCATAGACCATTCATTCCTCTGTACAGACTGTACAGAGGTACTGACAGTCTGTCGCACGGCAGAGCAGCCAGCATGCGCACGATCTGTGTGGCACCCAGGCTGTGTGTGTGCTGGCTGCATTTCGCTTAGTGTTTGTACTATTCTCTCGAATTTCCACACAGTCGTGCCCATCCATACATTTTCATGCATAGCGTAGAAGTACTGCTCCATCTCGTATACCTCGATGTGACCACCAGGGACACCACGTATGATAATTAGAATTGGCATTTCCTCTTTTAAAAATAAGCAAAAAAATAGAAGAATTTAAAATCAATGAAATTCACCCAACAAATGTCATATCGTCATAGCGAATGGCTAACACTGCAGGCATTTGACCGGCGTGCTTATCCGCACCCAAAATTTGCGTGGAGTCCTTGCGTTATTTGCCAGCCCACAACTTCATTAGTGGCATGTTAGACAGTATGTCAATATATAGAATGCCCCCGCCACTGAAAGCACTACATTTGGACCAAAACTCCAATGCAAAGCCTGTACGGCCTCTCCGAGGTCGTCATAGGATGTTTTAGCCGCTTGAGGCTTCTGTGATAAAATCTCGTTGCTATTTGGCGCAATATAGAACATTAAAGTAAGCTTTTAAAAAATATATGAATGTTTGACAGAATATGAAAAATGTTACCGAATAGCAAACGCTACACTATGCTCTCTGGCGCAAGCTCGCCCGCTACTTTATTGTTTATATAGGCTGTAATACACTAGGGATGCATTGGCCACGTGTAGTGAATCTTGCCCGCAGTTGATTAAGCCAATATGTTAATGTGAAACAATTTAGCTCGAGATTATATTAGCACAAATAGCTCATTTACTAAAATGCTTCGATCTGCGCACATTTTTGATGAATGTTAAAAGATCAAAGATGCCAAGAAAAAATTCCCCGACGAGTGATGCCGCCTGAAATTGCGTATAGCGTACTCATGCTTGTGCCAATCGTAGGTAGTCCCTCGCGCAATTTATAGTTGTTCAGAGGCGGCCTTACTTCCATCACGCTTTGCGATCGTCAAGTCCTCGCGCTTTTGCCTCATTGTGAAGCTTCTCTCAACGCGCTTCGTCGCGCAAGCAGTGCTTTCCTCCAGTCATTCGTTTTTTTTTCTTGCTAGTTATTGGACTAAACAACTCATGTCCTTAATATGTGACCGAAACGAAACAGAAATACTTACTATGGGAAAGAATCGTGCTCACAATCACTTTCGTATTTTTGTGTCAGTCGAAAAATTTTCGGCGTTGTCTGTATCCCCAATGCCAGATTTTCTTTACAGCAAGCGGGATTGCAACCCACTTGCTTGTTGATTCAATGAACCAACAATCGCTCATCAGTCGGAGCAATAAGCCTAGCGTTGTTCGTGTGTTTAGTGTGTAGTCACGGTTGATGACTTTGCTGAAGTGCTCAAATGCGAATTTTAACTGTACGTCAATCCTACTGAAGCTCTAATGAGACGATCAAAGCAAATGAAGCATGACAGCTTGCTATTCGAAGTCAGCAGCCTATAATCATTTCCGTCTATTTTACAAGAGTTACCACTGAACGATCATCTTCCGGACATTCGTGCCGCCTTCGAGCGTAATCCATGACACACAACATCGTAAGCACGATTTTCTCTCTAGTGACCTCGAATCGATATCAGCTCTGCAAGAGGCCGATTTTAACCTACGCAAGAGTGCTGGTGACATAATTATGAAAATGCATATAGCAGTATACAATACAATCTGTTAGTGTACCTGTAGCCGACTGTGATCGGTTATTTCACCCATACAAAACTTTTATTTGAAAGGAAATAACGTATATTTTCAAAAGAAGGATTTTATTTTTTAACCGGATTTTTTACTTCTGGCTCTGATAGTTCGCCTCCTCGCATTTACAGTCACCACACGTCGCTACCGTAGCTAAAGCTGACCGTTGTATACAAGAAACAAAATGGGTTTGCAACGACGACTAGCACCTTCGTCGCTCTTGTGCAGCGATCTTTTACAAAAAATGCAGTTCGATGCACAATAATAATTGATGAGTTGAGTAATACCCCACACTCTTTCGCGGCAATAAAAATTCGCAAGGCTCTTGTCAGTAATTCCAACGCGTCAAAGCAACAGCTTCCAAAAAAAAGAAGCCAACGCAAAATACGCAAAAAAAATACGCCTGCAATGTATTAAAAGGGCAGTAACAATTTGTTCCTGGAAGTAAACAACACTATCCGCTCTTCATCAACGTTTACGAGTACATTTAAACTGGACGATTTCGAAGATTTTAATCGTTCACGATTACTACCGAATTGCTGGCCTCCGAATATGTATTTGTCGAGGTCAGGCTTGTTGCTAGCCCGGAGCGGCCGTGCTGTCAAAACATCCCTTTTTACACTCTGAGAGGCATAGGGGGGGGGCGAAACGGCTCCAGTCTTCCGTGGAACCTGGGCATCGGTCCAAGGAAAAGCTATTGTCGACTTTCTTAAGACAAAAAAAATCGTCACGATATGCAAGACCGCCTCGCGGATCATGCGGGCAACCGAGCGGGAAGCATGGAAAAACCTGAATCTGTAGAGCTACTTGGAAACAGTGGCTAAGCCGAGTGTCAAATGGCTTTCTGAGTTGATGATGTATACCTCTAGCGGTTTTTGATGAGCCTACTTCTTTCCAAGTGCGTGCTTACCGGAACTTTCGCACTGCCGTCGCCTCATTGGACACGCTTTTAAAAGAAGATATGAACGAACGTGACTTTGTTCTTTTGCAGCCACATAAGATGTGGAAGGTCGTCTCATTGTATTTATATTAGCGTTGGTCGCACAGGAGGCCTACATTAACTGGGAATGGCTTCTGGGCAGCTGAAACGCATGGATTGGTGAGTTGTAAAACCAGCGATATTGTCGGACCGTTAAAAAGGATCGCTGGCTCTATGACGGAGCTATATCCCGGTTGAGTCCACTGCTTCTGTGTACGTCACATCAACACTAACATTAAAAAGAAAACGTGGGCTCTACCCCTTCCCCCGGAGACGGCTCTCGTATTGCAGATGCGCAGTGAATGCAGAATCGACGGCTCAAAATTATCCGATACCCGTCCAGTAGCAGCTGATTATTTGAAGTCGATTGACAAAGCGCACTGGGACGCTTTCGGTGAGACATACAACCAATCAACTTATGGCGAGATGACGTCTAACCTATGCAAATAATTGGTTGGCAATCAATATAGTCTGGTATCATTCCAGCAGCTGTCGCAAGAGTTGGGAAGAATGGCAATCCAATAGATCTGACGGAGCGAGCAAAAACAGCGCAAGATATACCCGGAAACAGCATTTAATTAGAGGATGCCGAGAAATTTGTAATAAAAGACATTGAGGAGCAAGCGGTAGAAAACGTCTTTCAGTATGAAGGAATACAGGATACGACCAAGAATATAAATGATAAAATTGACCTTTAACATCCGTAACTATGACGTTGAACAAGATTCAGACGGATCTCGGAAAAATTTAGTTTCTGAGGGTCCTGAAAACATTGTTTTTCCAGAATACGGAAATAGTTTTGACCCATTCGACTGCCCATGTTACTGCGAGCGAGATTGATGTAGCATCGCAGACGCAGGGATTTATTGCACATCCAAAAACTGTGCTCGCAAAGGACGATGCTAAAATAGTGTTTTTAGCTCTCGGGGGGGGGGCTGGTTCATACTCAGTTTGGATACGGAGTTCATGCAGGTGGTTATATTTCAGTTAGCGAGTACACTGGAGTGCTGTCTACACACGGCTATAATTCGGACAAAGCGATGGTCGGCGAATAATCGGTATAGCAAAACCTGCTTGGCTGGCAAACGCTTTGTACCGGTGAAGCAAGGGCTTTGACGAAACGTGCTTTAAGCAATATTGTTTCCATAGCCCGCGATCGTGCCAAATTGAATGAGAGGTTCTGAATCTTGATTAGACGCTTCCACTCGATTTTTTGCCTTCTATTTTCGATTCTAGGCTATCCATGCGCTCATTCTAGCGCTTTACTGGCTGGGCTGACTGGTCAATGACAACACGCTGGTACTCAATGAGCGTGTGGTCTTGGATTATTTTCTTGAGTGTGCGTTTATATGTCTTCTGTGGTCGTTGGCAGCTTCGTATTGCAGGCAAGATGGGTCGACCAAGCGAACAAGCTTTCAAGGTACAATCCTGCCAGCTCCACACGAGCGTTTCGCACTGCCGTCGCCTCATTGGACACGCTTTTAAAAGAAGATACGAACGAACGTGACTTTTTTCTTTTGCAGCCACATAAGATGTGGAAGGTCGTCTCATTGTATTTATATTAGCGTTGGTCGCACAGGAGGCCTACATTAACTGGGAATGGCTTCTGGGCAGCTGAAACGCATGGATTGGTGAGTTGTAAAACCAGCGATATTGTCGGACCGTTAAAAAGGATCGCTGGCTCTATGACGGAGCTATATCCCGGTTGAGTCCACTGCTTCTGTGTACGTCACATCAACACTAACATTAAAAAGAAAACGTGGGCTCTACCCCCCCCCCCTCCACCGGAGAAGGCTCTCGTATTGCAGATGCGCAGTGAATGCAGAATCGACGGCTCAAAATTATCCGATACCCGTCCAGTAGCAGCTGATTATTTGAAGTCGATTGACAAAGCGCACTGGGACGCTTTCGGTGAGACATACAACCAGCCAACTTATGGCGAGATGACGTCTAACCTATGCAATTATTGGTTGGCAATCAATATTATTCTGTTATCATTCCACCAGCTTCCACAGAGTTGGGAAAGTGCCAATACCAAATTATGTGAGGGAGCAGACAAAAACACCGCAAGATCTGACCCGGAAAAAATTTTTTTATTTTTAGGGGGTCACCCCGGCATTTTTATATTAAAAGACATTGAGGAGCAAGCAGTAGAAAACGTCTTTCAGTATGAAGGAATAGAGGATACGTCCAAGAATATAAATGATAAAATTGACATTTAACATCCGTAACTATGACGTTGAACAAGATTCAGACGGATCTCGGAAAAATTTAGTTTCTGAGGGTCCTGAAAACATTGTTTTTCCAGAATACGGAAATAGTTTTGACCCATTCGACTGCCCATGTTACTGCGAGCGAGATTGATGTAGCATCGCAGACGCAGGGATTTATTGCACATCCAAAAACTGTGCTCGCAAAGGACGATGCTAAAATAGTGTTTTTAGCTCTCGGGGGGGGGGCTGGTTCATACTCAGTTTGGATACGGAGTTCATGCAGGTGGTTATATTTCAGTTAGCGAGTACACTGGAGTGCTGTCTATACACAACTATAATTCGGACAAAGCGATGGTCGGCGAATAATCCGTATAGCAAAACCTGCTTGGCGGGCAAACGCTTTGTACCGGTGAAGCAAGGGCTTTGACGAAACGTGCTTTAAGCAATATTGCTTCCATAGCCCGCGATCGTGCCAAATTGAATGAGAGGTTCTGAATCTTGATTAGACGCTTCCACTCGATTTTTTGCCTTCTATTTTCGATTCTAGGCTATCCATGCGCTCATTCTAGCGCTTTACTGGCTGGGCTGACTGGTCAATGACAATACGCTGGTACTCAATGAGCGTGTGGTCTTGGATTATTTTCTTGAGTGTGCGTTTATATGTCTTCTGTGGTCGTTGGCAGCTTCGTATTGCAGGCAAGATGGGTCGACCAAGCGAACAAGCTTTCAAGGTACAATCCTGCCAGCTTCACACGAGCGTTTCGCACTGCCGTCGCCTCATTGGACACGCTTTTAAAAGAAGATACGAACGAACGTGACTTTTTTCTTTTGCAGCCACATAAGATTTGGAAGGTCGTCTCATTGTATTTATATTAGCGTTGGTCGCACAGGAGGCCTACATCAACTGGGAATGGCTTCTGGGCAGCTGAAACGCATGGATTGGTGAGTTGTAAAACCAGCGATATTGTCGGACCGTTAAAAAAGATCGCTGGCTTCTATGACAGAGCTATATCCCGGTTGAGTCCACTGCTTCTGTGTACGTCACATCAACACTAACATTAAAAAGAAAACGTGGGCTCTACCCCCCCCCCCTCCACCGGAGAAGGCTCTCGTATTGCAGATGCGCAGTGAATGCAGAATCGACGGCTCAAAATTATCCGATACCGATCCAGTAGCAGCTGATTATTTGAAGTCGATTGACAAAGCGCACTGGGACGCTTTCGGTGAGACATACAACCAATCAACTTATGGCGAGATGACGTCTAACCTATGCAAATAATTGGTTGGCAATCAATATAGTCTGGTATCATTCCAGCAGCTGTCGCAAGAGTTGGGAAGAATGGCAATCCAATAGATCTGACGGAGCGACCAAAAACAGCGCAAGATATACCCGGAAACAGCATTTAATTAGAGGATACCGAGAAATTTGTAATAAAAGACATTGAGGAGCAAGCAGTAGAAAACGTCTTTCAGTATGAAGGAATAGAGGATACGTCCAAGAATATAAATGATGAAATTGACCTTTAACATCCGTAACTATGACGTTGAACAAGATTCAGACGGATCTCGGAAAAATTTAGTTTCTGAGGGTCCTGAAAACATTGTTTTTCCAGAATACGGAAATAGTTTTGACCCATTCGATTGCCCATGTTACTGCGAGCGAGATTGATGTAGCATCGCAGACGCAGGGATTTATTGCACATCCGAAAACTGTGCTCGCAAAGGACGATGCTAAAATAGTGTTTTTAGCTCTCGGGGGGGGGCTGGTTCATACTCAGTTTGGATACGGAGTTCATGCAGGTGGTTATATTTCAGTTGGCGAGTACACTGGAGTGCTGTCTACACACACGTATAATTCGGACAAAGCGATGGTCGGCGAATAATCCGTATAGCAAAACCTGCTTGTCGGGCAAGCTCTTTGTACCGCTGAAGCAAGGCAGGCTTGGGCGACACGTGCTTAAGGCAATATTGCTTCCATAGACCGCGATCGTGCTAAATTGAATGAGAGGTTCTGAATCATGATTAGACGCTTCCACTCGATTTTTGCCTTCTATTTTCGATTCTAGGCTATCCATGCGCTCATTCTAGCGCTTTACTGGCTGGGCTGACTGGTCAATGACAATACGCTGGTACTCAATGAGCGTGTGGTCTTGGATTATTTTCTTGAGTGTGCGTTTATATGTCTTCTGTGGTCGTTGGCAGCTTCGTATTGCAGGCAATATGGGTCGAATAAGCGAACAAGCTTTCAAGGTACAATCCTGCCAGCTCCACACGAGCGTTTCGCACTGCCGTCGCCTCATTGGACACGCTTTTAAAAGAAGATACGAGCGAACGTGACTTTTTTCTTTTGCAGCCACATAAGATGTGGAAGGTCGTCTCATTGTATTTATATTAGCGCTGGTTGCACAGGAGGCCTACATCAACTGGGAATGGCTTCTGGGCAGCTGAAACGCATGGATTGGTGAGTTGTAAAACCAGCGATATTGTCGGACCGTTAAAAAGGATCGCTGGCTCTATGACGGAGCTATATCCCGGTTGAGTCCACTGCTTCTGTGTACGTCACATC